ACTAACTACCAGCCCAACTACTCTTCACTTACCCTCCACTTCTTCAAGACCCTCAACTCTTCATCTGCCCATCACCCACCCACCAACATGCTAAGAATCCTCGGTACCCGTCCATTACCTGTGCAGGATTCCCGCTACCCATTCCTCCCACCTACCATCCACACCACCCACTCCCCACGCCACTCACTACCCATTTCGGCAACAAGATACTGGGTGAAAATAGTATAGATGGTCACCAACTTAAACTTTAAATTAAAAAGAAAAGAAACGCCCCATACAACATCGGCATTGAACCACAGACCAGCTGGACTGTTATGGTCAACCCCGCAGTGTCGTCGCGACGCCTCTACCATATAAACATTAAAAGGTTTATTTATTCATCTATAATAGGTATTTCGTGTGTTTACTCTTGTGAGGTGACCACAGTGTTCAGACGTATCTAGTAACTCGTGTTACAACAAACTTTATATTTTTCACATAATAGCACATAGGAAATAAATAATAAGCAGTATATATGTAATGGTGTACATATGAGTCCCGTTTGTACTAGTTGTCCGATGTTTCTTACTCGTATAATATATTTAAAACTAATTTACAATCTCTTATTAACAAATTCTAATCAAACAATTCCCTCATAATGCATAAAGAATATTTTTTAATGGTTCAATGTATTATTACCAACGTATCGAGAAAGTCAATATAGAATTTCTCTACCATGAAGTACTGTAAGGTGATGTCTCCGGGTTCCTCACAGTTATGTTATGATGCCAATTACTATGAAACTGTAGAAGATACGAGTCAGAGTTTAGGTAATGATTCATTGTTGGTCTTGTGTTAAATATCAATACGAGATTAATTAATTACATATAGTTTACTTCTTCAGTATTGACTTTGAATATTTTACAGGTGTGTGTGTGTGTGTGTGTGTGTGTGTGTATCAGAAACATAGAACATCTGACACACAGACCAACGGGCAAAATGACATAATGAAACAGACACATACTGTCATTTAGGCTGAAAACGAACTTACTCACAAATGGACACAATGGCACACGGACACAGAAAGAACTATATTAACATATAGCAACGCTGACATATACGTAGACACAGACATACAGTAGTGGTTGATCCGTTGAGAGATGTAATATAATAAGAATCAGATGGTGAAATAACTTTGTCTGTCTGTCTGCCCTGCCCTGCCTGCCAGCCTGCCTGTGTGAAGCCGTAAGTCTTGTTAGCTCGACAAATCTTCCGTTTTGAATTCAATTCTGATGAAACTTGGCGGGAATGTTCTTGTGCGGGAGATGGCGGATGTGATTGTTCTTTCCCCCGCATGTGGGCGATCTGTCTGTGCGTTTATTCGTCCTTGCATCCGTCTGTGCGTCCGTTTGTGTACCCATCCGTCCTTTCGACCGTCCGTTCGACAATAATGAACGCAAAAAGGAAAAAAAATATCTTACTGTGTTTATACATCACAGCACACACACACACACACACACACACACACACACACACACACACACACGCTGAATAAATATTGTCTGTTCATAGAAGTTAAGCTGTAATAGATAAATACCTTATAAAGTTTATATGATAGAGGCGTCGCGACAACACTGCGGGGTTGACCATCAGTTCAGCTGGTCTAGAGTTCAATGCCGTGTTTGTCAGGGGCGCTTCTTTTTTTATGTTAAAGTTTAAGTTGGTGACCATCTATACTGTTTTCACTCATATGAAGGATGATGACCTTTCACTTAATTACCAGCATCTCGTAATTACCATTATTCTGGTCGTACAGTAGGATTTTACCCAAAGAAAAATCGCCCAATGGGATTTTTATTGTAACGAAAAATGGTCACTTGGTATTTTTTGAACAATGAATGTTCTTTCATGTACAGTAGGCTTGGTTGTCAGGTTATGATTTGTGAGTTGGGATTTATTTCTACTATACAGTTGTGTCCGGTGAGGTTATGTGTTGAGGAGATCTGTCAATGGGATTGTGTCATGTGAGATTCGTGTCAGTGTGTCTCAGTGTACTATTCAAGCGACCCATGTGAACCCTCACACGGTAATTTTTTTTTTTTATGGGAATTAGCCCATCCGGGCACAGGTCAAATCAAATGACCCACACCGGAGCCTGGGGGGGAGAACGGAAAGAAATTGTAAATATAGAAAAAAAAGGTTATACTGTATTAATCTACACCACGAAGATGCCGGGAAACCAGCTTTTTAAAGTGAGACAGATTGTAAGAGCATGGAAACACAGAAGAAGGCAGAGCATTCCACAGTTTGGCTGTGTGAGGAAAGGAGGAAGTACTATAACGGGTTATTCTCGTGTGACCGACATCCACAGAGAAATGGTGGGCACCGCGGGCAAGACGTGTGTTACGAACCCACGGCCTTGCCAGCGGTACACGGGATGCTAAATCCACCGAACATTGCCCGTTAAAGTACCTGTAAAAGAGAGAGAGTGAAGCAACATTGCGGCGAAGAGAAAAGGAAGAGAGATGGTCGACTAAAGGAGGAAAGTTAAGAAGACGAAATGCCTTTGATTCCACCCTATCTAATAGTTGGACAGAAGAAGAGCCACCCCAGATATGAGAGCAGTACTCCAAGTTAGGACGAATGAATCCCTTATATACTTGGAGCAACTGATCAGGAGTGAAGTAGCTGCGGCATCTGTACAGCATACCCAACTTTCGGGAGGCAGCTTTAGTTATACTAAGGATGTGTGATTTCCAGGACATATTGGAGGAAATGGTGAGGCGTAACATATTTATTTCAGAATTAGGAGGATGATAGCGTCCTGAAATGTAATTGGTGGGAGATCGTCTAATTTACAACTGGGTTAATGAGGCAATATAAACTTTATAAAGTATTTATCTATAACAGCTCATTGGGTAAAATCCTACTGTACGACCAAAATAATGGTAATTACAAGATACTGGTAATTAAGTGAAACGTCATCATCCTTCATATGGGTGAAAACAGTACAGATGGTCACCAACTTAAACTTTAACATATAAAAAAGAAGCGCCCCTGACAAACACGGCATTGAACTCTAGACCAGCTGAACTGTGATGGTCAACCCCGCAGTGTTATCGCGACGCCTCTATCATATAAACTTTATAAGGTATTTATCTATTACAGCTTAACTTCTATGAACAGACAATATTTATTCAGCGTGTGTGAACACGGTAACGTCGATTTTTTTTTTCCTTTTTGTGTTCATTATTGTCGAACGGACGGTCGAAAGGACGGATGGATACACAAACGGACGCACAGACGGATGCAAGGACGATGAACGCACAGACAGATCGCCCACACATGCGGCGGGGAAAAACAATCACATCCGCCATCTCCCGCACAAGAACATTCCTGCCAAGTTTCATCAGAACTTAATTTAAAACGGAAGACGTGTCGAGCTAACAAGACTTACGACTTCACACGGGCAGGGCAGGGGAGGGCAGGACAGGGGAGGGCAGGACAGGGGAGGGCAGGACAGGGGAGGACAGGACAGGGCAGGGCAGACTCCACAACCTCACACGCAGTCTCCACACCCTCGGTAGATGGATGGGATTGCGTGCGCGAAAAAGATATAGAACGGTGTAGGGAGGTGAGCGCCGGTGTGCCAACCATCACTCACCCGCCTCACGTTGACACACCGCTCCATCTACCTGTCCCAGGACGCCCTCCACCCCCTCCTCCTTTCCCCTTTGGAATGTTAAAAAAAAGGGGAGGGGGAAATACACTTGCATGCGGGTATAGTGTGCGCTGATTGGCTTTTGTTTGCCATGACGTCCTACATGCCCCCAAACGGGTGGATTTTGCTTGTAAGCCCCACGAGGAATATGTCACCGAGGGCGTCGTTCTTACCTCGATGGTGATTAGTCTCCCCACCCACAGAGAGAGAGAGAGAGAGAGAGAGAGAGAGAGATATATATATATGTGTATGCAGAGTGAGTGAGAGGATGGTGGTATAAGTATGAGTAGGGAGGAGGTATGAGGTGGCTTGTAAGTATAGTAGAGGGATGTGTGTAGGGAGAGTTTAGAGGTGTGTAGGGAGAGTGGACAAGAGATGGATGGTTTGTATAAAGGCAGAGAGAGTGTTGGCAGGTGATGTGGAGGGGGAGTGAGAGAAAGGAGGTGTGTGGGGTAGGGTGAGTGAGTGAGTGACAGCGAAGGGAGACGGGTGAGAGGTACTGTACTCCCCTACACTGGTAATGTTACTGTTAGTATAGGCAGTGCACATACAATCTCTCTCTCTCTCTCTCTCTCTCTCTCTCTCTCTCTCTCTCTCTCACTAATAATTTAACCCGAGTGTCTGTCTAATGGTCCAAGTTGAAATGGAAACGGTCCATTAAAGTTGTTTACCTCGATTAATACCAAGAGACTTAAGCCAGTGATCGAGGTCATTCAAATAGTGGGAGACGACTCAAGAAATAATGAATGTGTGTAATGAATTTTAGGACGATGTGGGAAGTAGAACGCGGTGAATGTTACGAGTGCTTTATGTCTCAACGTGACCAGGAGTTGAGGAGGTGACATTTGTAAAGGTTAGACGAGGTTAGTAAGTGAACGCATATAAACCCCTCAGATATGCTACACAAGTTGAATAGTTTTGTACTGTTTCTTCAGACGTGAATTTGAAACAGCATCACCCTTCCCCCTCCCCCCCGGGACCTTACAGAGAACAGCATGTAGACCTAAATGTGACATAGAACAGCATGTAGACCTAAACATCAAACAACAAACACGAGACTTTAGAGAAAAAGAACATTCCAAGTCCTTCATCAGAAATTAATTTAAACCGGGACATCTAACACGATCACAAAATATCATCCCTGCACACTGATCCACACACAGGAAAATATTCAAACTATTCAGGACACATTTTCGTCACAAAGGTCCACCATGTCACGACGAGACAAAAATATTTAAACCTGAAAAACAATTGTATATCATGGTTGATGTAGCATACTAATGTTGCTGTTGTATCCGTGATGAATTACTGTAATCATCCTGTGGAAATTATCATACCTATACCTGAATCTGCCCAGGTGCATGTGCGTGCACCTGTACCTGTATCTGCTCAGGTGCATATACGTGCACCTGTACCTGGATTTGCTCAGGTGCATGTACGTGCACCTGTACTTCTATCTGCCCAGGTGCATGTACGTGCACCTGTATCTGCTCAGGTGCATGTACGTGCACCTGTACCTGTATTTGCTCAGGTGCATGTACGTGCACCTGTACCTGTATCTGCTCAGGTGCATGTACGTGCACCTGTACTTCTATCTGCCCAGGTGCATGTACGTGCACCTGTATCTGCTCAGGTGCATGTACGTGCACCTGTACCTGTATTTGCTCAGGTGCATGTACGCGCACCTGTACCTGTATCTGTTCAAGTGCATGTACGTGCACCTGTACCTGTATTTGCTCAGGTGCATGTACGTGCACCTGTACCTGTATCTGCCCAGGTGCATGTACGTGCACCTGTACCTGTATCTGCTCAGGTGCATGTACGTGCACCTGTATCTGCTCAGGTGCATGTACGTGCACCTGTACCTGTATCTGCTCAGGTGCATGTACGCACACCTGTACCTGCCCAGGTGCATGCACCTGTACCTGTATTTGCTCAGGTGCATGTACGTGCACCTGTACCTGTATCTGCTCAGGTGCATGTACGTGCACCTGTACCTGTATTTGCTCAGGTGCATGTACGTGCACCTGTACCTGTATCTGCCCAGGTGCATGTACGTGCACCTGTACCTGTATCTGCTCAGGTGCATGTACGTGCACCTGTACCTATATCTGCTCAGGTGAATGTACGTGCACCTGTACCTGTATCTGCCCAGGTGCATATATCTGCACCTGTACCTGTATTCGCTCAGGTGTAAGTACGTGCACCTGTATCTGCCCAGGTGCATGTACGTGCACCTGTACCTGTATTTGCTCAGGTGCATGTACGTGCACCTGTACCTGTATCTGCCCAGGTGCATGTACGTGCACCTGTACCTGTATCTGCCCAGGGGCATGTACGTGCACCTGTACCTGTATCTGCCCAGGTGCATGTACGTGCACCTGTACCTGTATCTGCCCAGGTGCATGTACGTGCACCTGTATCTGCCCAGGTGCATGTACGTGCACCTGTATCTGCCCAGAAGCATGTACGTGCACCTGTACCTGTATTTGCTTAGGTGCATGTACGTGCACCTGTACATAATAAACTATTCATCATTATTTTAGATCATGAAAAGTTTCCAAATGTTTGCATATTTGCTTAAATAATGAAGAAAACTTTATTAATGAATTGGCAACTCTTCTACAACCACAGCTGCCACATGATGTCACATTTGTTTTTTAATTATTTAAGCAAATATGCAAACATTTGGAAACCTTTGGTTTATTTAATATTTATCCTGACAGTGATACAACCGAAAATAGATCCACCAATCACAATCACTATTACATACAGCCTCACTTTACCAAGTATTGCCAGGTAAAATTGCGAGTACAAGACCCAGGTTGAGGTAGCTGGATCTCTGGCTGACTGTACTTACACCTGTACCTGCTCGGGTATACGTACTTACAACTATAGTTGTATATATCCGCACTTATAACCAATGTTTCTAACGGATTATCGATTAGACTGAACAAGACTGACCAAATCCTCTGAGATTCCTTACACGACTAATGTTTCCTATAGTATAAAATAAGTTTAAACTCCAGTTAACACAGAGGAAAGTATACCCTGAAAAACCATCTTATATCGATACATAAATAATACAAATTAATGAGCATAGTTTTGCGTGTGTCATCCACCACGTATACGAGCAGAGAGTTTACAGTAATTTTTATATACTGTATATATTCCCGCTACCATAAACACCTTCAAATTTATTCGAATAAACAAAAGAACGGAACAAAAAATTTGAATATTCACAACATTATTCAGATGAACTATGATATACAGAATCAAAATAATAGAACAAGTAACCATGTACTACCTAACATCTGCTGCCACTACCACTGTTTCAGCTGCCCCTTGAGTGCCAGTTTGGAGGGGGAGGAGGAGGAACACCTGTCTAGTAGGTTCGTCCTCAAGATTAAGTTGACAAGGGTAACATGAAAGGTCAAGGTGGTGAGGGTGGGGGGTCTTACGTAACACCCCATCCACTTATGAGTAATTCACCTGCTTTCATCACAGACACACGGACACAGTGGTCAAGGTACGCTACACCTTGAAGGGTCAGGTGAGGTTACTTAACACTGTAATTCACCTGTTTGGTATATACATATTGATAAAGATAAAGACTGAGATAGAGAGAACCAGGCCAGCAGCAGGAAGGTTCAGGTGACACACACACACACACACACACACACACACACACACACACACACACACACACACACCAATGGATCATTAATTCATTTGTTTTGACCTGACCATCACGGTGGTACTCTCTCCTCCGCTCACAAAATATAAAGGAAGGGAAGATGTCCTTACCTCTTTATATAGAAACATGTTATTAGTATCTCTTTAAGACAACTCTAACCAATTTGAACAGGTCCATTGCGTCAGGTGTATTATCCATAAAGACCGTAATAGAGAGATCACTTACACTGTTAACTCTCTCTTAACATGAAACAACACAAACTACAGGTAATAAACTGTTCACTCAAACGCCCCAGACCGAGCCATTTACACGTCAGCCCTGAGCGTCACGTCACCTATCACAAACAGCTTTGACAGAGGATTTATACATCTCTCTCCCCTTTTTGTGTGGACGTATGTGAACCGGCTGGGTATTGACGACAACCTGGTATACTGCTAGTGTTCCTTAACAACCCAGTACACCAACCACTCCACCACCGTGCCCTGGACATCACGCGGGAGGAGACCAGGACTAGCTAATCATACTACTAAACAACCTGCACTTACCCACAATCCCCGCAATGTATAGCACTATTTAGCACCCAACATTCATTACACCAGAAGACGAAAACCTCTATAATTACCATGAAGCCATCGTACATACGGACTAACTACAAGGCTTCCTCTTAATTAACCTGTCTGCCCTGGCTGGATTATCACAGCTTTACTCTTTATAAGGCATATTAGGGGTTAAATATAAGCTTGGCCTCCCATATGCATAAGCAAAATTAGTGAGAGTTACGGCGGGTGTTGGGGAGCTGAGGTACCTCGGTTACCAAAATACCTCCCAACTCTCTCTCTAGGGGCCTCCACTGTGTAAGGAATACAATGTATGACGTCACAAAACTGAGAATATAGAATAATGCATAACGCCACAACTGGTGATAGGAAGTGAATAATAATAATAATAATAATAATAATAATAATAATAATAATAATAATAATAATAATAATAATAATAATAATAATAATAATAATAATAATAATAATAATAATAATAATAATAATAATAATAATAATAATAATAATAAACTTTTCTGACTGAGGACTACTTATATAAACCACTGACTCTCACGCCATCACAATGAATAAGAAAATATAAGATACTACATAATAAAAGTTACATTTACTGTATAGAGATCCATTAAACACAAACGTCACTAACCACACTAAAGACACATCGGGGTAATGAAAAGAACACACTAATGGATATGTTGACCAGGGACAAAATCAACCCATTCACAACAGATCATTAAGGAAGGTTTGTTACTATGAAGGCTCCTTGGGTTACTGTTACGTTGTTCGTGGGACGTCAGGTGTCGGGTAGAAGGAGGTGTCATTAAGGAAGGTTTGTTACTATGAAGGCTCCTTGGGTTACTGTTACGTTGTTCGTGGGACGTCAGGTGGAGTTAGTGTCGGGTAGAAGGAGGTGTCGATGTTTAGGGTTGGGTAAACCTTCTTATACCTTACCTAACCTAACCCACATAATTCTCGTCCTTCGTTCAGTGTAATATAAGTCCAAGTTTTCAAGGATATTCTGGTAACGTGTATAATAACTTCATAATACAACTCAACATGCATATTACTTGACTTTTTATCTTATTTTACCTTGTATTTACGTCTCTTGGTTGTCATACAGGGGAGGTTTACTCTTACTTTTTTTTCCCAGGTGTGTGAGTGACGAGACAGAAGGTGAGTGAACACGGGACGTAATCACAGCTGGTGTACATGTATATATAGTGAAGGTGCAGTGCAGGACTCTACCTGACGGACAAGTTAGTTATGGAGAGCCTTAATTTGGCCCCGTGAGCGTCTTCATATCTCTGCAGGTGTCAGGCCTCTGGTGTATTGCACTAATTATAACACTGACATGATGTGCAGGTGGTGAGCACGACCGAGGACAAACATGCACACGGACACAAGGAAGCACGTACACGGGTGTAA